GGGTTGCAACGCACCTCAAGACTAGGTGAGTGTGGGTCTAAAGTTCCGTATGTGTCTTAAAGCAATCAATACCGACCGGTACAAAGATTTTATAGCTTACGGCTTCGACATTTGGGGTACAGATGTCAACCAGTTTAACGACGTCATGATAAACCAAGATCACCCTAAACGTTTCAAATACAAAAAAACCAAAGATGCAACAATGAAGGGATATTCAAACCGACAGAGTGGTGAGATTCTCATCAATAATTTATGCTGACTGACCAGCGCGAATTGGTCTATCTTGCAAGCTCCATACATAAGGCATAACATGCGGTGTGCCAAAGACAATACACGATGACTTCAAGTTCAGCACGTTGCGAAGTGTAATGCGCAAAAAACAACCGCATGTCCTGTCACAAACGCTATCTTATGCGCCGGTAGCTTCTGTCGTGAATGGCATAGGACATCGCTAGATCGACAAAACAGGAAAATCACTTCCTACACATTGTACTCATCACAATGGGGCGAACGAAACAAGTTAGAATGGGTCAAGGCACACTTTTGTGTTTCTCATCTTAACATTGTGCTACAAGATTCGCTTTCTCTTTAGTTGATTACATGGGTTAAGGAAGATCTGACTGAAAGCGAAACACCCGGCCTAGTGGTTAGCAGAAAGAGGTTTTTCTACAAAACTAACGGACTCTGCGAGTCCCACTAGCAGTAGCGGTTAAAGAATTTCGAATCGCAAACAACCTCTGATTTCATTTACTGTCTTCAGAAGGTGAAACGCAAGATCAATGGAACTGGTGGTTTACTGTGAAGCAAACCCTCATCAGTAATATTGCATCCGAAATAGGATCGTTTTGACAATGCTCCAGGATTGCATAACACAAAGATATTCATCCTTTTGTATAATCCGTGAGTGGAGGCAGCGCTACCAGCATACGTAGGGATGACATCCTAGCTGTCAACTGTAGACTTTGAGTACATGGGCCAACATAGTTTGAGAGCTACGGACAAAAGATGACCTTGGGGAGAGGTGTCGGAATTAGAAGGCGTTTAGTAGAACAACGCGGTTTCGAGATAGCTGAGCGAGTGCGTGATACCTCGACGCGATTATAAATGAGTTCAGCGAGCGCAATGTGCAAACTTTGAACTACCTCGTCTTGGTAGGCAAATGTAGTTAATCATAAGTCCGATAAATATTGTTAACAACAACGACGTGATAGTTATGTCTGTTGACTTAGGTATATCGAATGAGTTCCCTAAGCACTTTATGGTTAGAAGACTATTAATGAGGGCGATAGCCCATCAGACGAAACGCTCTGAGCCCTAGTAAGAGCATATGTGTACTGAACGCCTCCTCGGACGGTGGCCTACACCGGTAGCGTTCCCCCAGTCTGTCACGTGAAAATTCACATAAACATATTAGATGCAAATAATCTGGATCCTCTTATAGACGCCATAATTTTTTATGTTAGCTAATGAAATAGCTACTGAAGACAGGACTCAACCTGTCTAAAAAGATAGATACAAGTTAATGTGCGGGGGAATAAAGTGCATATTCGCATTAGATGCAAATGGTAAGACCGGAAGCTTCTTATGAGTTAGCGAGTGTCAAGGTGAGATGCATACGTGTATATGGCTGCACATAGCCTAATGTACATTTATGCTTCTTTCTGATAGCCAACCTTTAGAAATTACGGCGTGAGACAGTGATTAAACCCTTATACACGAAACCCGAGAAGTCGTCCATTAAAAGATATAGTGGTCTCAGTAAATAGAAGGAAAATTAAATCAATAAACTTCTGGTTAGATTCCAAAGATCAGTTAAATGCGTTTGCACACGAGACTTCCTTATCGTCCATTCAGCTGGCAGACACCCCTAGTTACTGCGACCTGGGAAGAAGTAAGGACCTGTTCAGAAGTGATAAGTCCGGCTGTCGGAATGCCCAGAAATGACACTTTCGATAGTTAGGTACGATATTTGTTGTTGGAATCACCGAAGCTGTATGAAATCGGTGCGAATTGCAGACTTGCGTCAAAGATTGCTTGAGTCATCTCGCAGCTGTCATCATTCAGTGCAGCCGCCACTGTGCTTGCTGGATTCAGCTCACAAGTAGCCCAGTTTTAGCATGAGAGAGAACGGAAGAAGGAAGTCAGTATACTTAACGCAAACACGAGTGTGAGCCGAGTTATCTTGGAGGTGGTGATGTGGCCAGGAAAAGTGTGCAATTCTTGTTCACTTTGGGAACTAGTAAATGCTGAAAGTCCACACTGTTTCCCTTTCAACCAGTTTGTATTCCACTGATGCACTTGTCCGCATTTTTCCACGACGAAAGAAACATGCGTGAGTTTGACAAAGAGGTTGCAGTGGTCTACCGCACAAGGCCCTGATTCGCCAGGTGGCAGAATTTCGGGCAGACTCGGTCAAGAAAGGCCATTCCTTTTGTCTCAACTGCCGCGTATTGTACACTACAACACAGTCCGTCTCGGGATGGAAGGGAAGCATCCAAAGTGTCGACGAACCACATCATGGAGTCAGAACATTTGAGCTCGAGAGAGCTATGCAATTTTTTCAGTAGAGAGACTGAAATGCGGCAAGCTGCGTGCCCCCGACAAAATGATCAATTAAGTTGCAGATAAAACCATTTCACCACTCCGATTACAACGGTGACCAAATCCACGCTGTGGAAGGTACAGATAGGAAAGTACTCCCTTGTTGTTAACCTGGTCATGATATCAGACGTTCGTATGCAAATGGTAGACTACGGAAGCCAGTGGAATTTGAAACGATGAAGGGATTTAAGTAGTTCATACAGGGTTTGCCAAGACTCGGATGATTAAGCCTGTGAGTTGCAGGACCGTAACGCGTGCGGTATAACAGCATAACTTGCGCCAAGTCGCGCTTAGTTGTTTACTCGCGCCAGCTGACGGCTTCCGCGGAGGTCAAATGATTTCCATCTCTGTTACGCGCTACTGCAAACGTGATCTTGGTTGTCTAATTCGGTGGAGGGGAGACGCACTGCAGAGAAGCTTTTAGAGGACGCACAGCTCTTTCCGCATGTATGGCAGCCCAGTGGCTGTGCTCAGACAAGCCGTGTTAAGAAAGTAACTGCAGTAACGCCAGTCATATGCCCCTATCGCTACAAAGTCGCAGACACCGGCGATAGTTAGGATTTTCTTCAGCCAAACGAAGGACCTTGTCCGAGTTAGCCTGTTAATCAGGGATCTGTAGAGATCACTGACAAGCGACTACTTCCACAGAGCAGATTATAAAACTGGCAATTTATCATGAAGGGCTTTTGATGGCAATCGACTCCTTAGTTCTGGAGGTCATGTAGTTCGACTTATGTTACAGTCATGGTTGCATTTGTGTCGTCTTATGACAAACCATCAGTGGTAGCTGAAACCCAGAGCGGACGTGGGTGAGTCGTGTGGACATCGCAACCGACCGCGCAGATTAGTACCAAGGATCAACTCCAATACGTGATCTATACGCAGCTGTCAAGCGGTTTAAGGAGGGACTCATCAACAGTTACGTCGAGCACCAATAAATACCTGAGAAGTTCGCCAAGGAACTCTATGGTCTGTGGTAGATTTCAGCCGCAACAACGAGACAAAACGAACCCGAGATAATCTATCGAGTTTAGGCCATCAGTGAAACGATCATAAACGAGGGGCAGTTGAAAGATGGTCTACGCGACCATGATAGGTTCAGATAGTTTAGGAAGTACCCCATAAAGGCAGCTATGGTGTACTCCATGTCATTTAGGTAACAGAAGTCATAAACTACATATGTCCAAAATAAGAAGATACCTCGCCTGATACGCGTGTACAGCGCACACGAAGGAAAGTTGGTATTGCCAACAACGTCCCAGCAGCTGTATCCATCTTGCTTGCGACGATAGAGTTTACAAGTAGATGTAGCTTGCTCTATTAGCTGTACGAATACTGAGTTGTCGCAAATTTCCGATGCAACAACGCAACGTTCGCGGTTAGTGTTTACCGCATAGACAGAAAATGGGGAGTGCACTCTCACAGGCTCATTAACGCTTATAACCGACCTAGTGTAGCGAAACACCGAGTACGAAGACGGCTCTTTGTGCGGCACGTTCAGTATAGAAATTTGGGAAGCAGTGATTTCAGAGATTTACGAATAGTCGATTGGCCGACTGATTTGACAGGGTTTTGAATTTGGCGCAAACACCTGGTCTGATGAAGCTATAGGATAAAAAAGCGAAACGATTGGAATAAGTAAAACAACCGATTGTTCGCAAATATCTCAGAAGGCATGACTTTCGATCAGTACCAAGTATGTCACAAGAGTACGAACTTTGGAAGTAATTAACGGTCAGTCGGAGAGAAGCTTCGGGAAAATCGAACACGCATAAAGGTGGATTTACGTGGTCTACAGTTTTTTCGGTTGAGTTAAACCACATGGTAACCTGTATTGCCCGAACTGCTGATAAGGTCGTCTATCCGCAATATCAAATTGATTCACAGCGCATTCACTAGTTATCGGATGCGTATATGAAAGCGCATTTCAACGCGGCGGCGTGGATGCGCTCTGCGTAAGCCATTCTTGAAAACAGACCTAAAGAACTCAGACTTTACGAATGTTTAACATTCAATTGTAGACGAAGTGTCCGCTGTGAGACAGGTTGGATTATCTCGAACAATATTCATTAGCTTGATCGAGAACCGGTGTAGATTGACCAGTAACAAGCGATGGAATTGAGATCGACACCAAGGTGCCCATGTCACGTTATGTATGCCAGCGGCCAGTTGTGCCTATTCAAGTCGACGGAGAAGCAGCAAGAACTGATTGGTCCAGAACGAACAGTAGGACGAGTGGATAAATATTTGTTGGCGTAGCAAGCAGAAGCGTAACATTCTGATACTACATATGATCGTCAGTTGGATTGCATTACGACAGTGGCAATGTGTCCACACACTAAAAAATTGGAAGTGAGCTGACAAATGCCTCGACAACACCAGAGACTTTCCAGACTTACTACTTGGTCGCCGGTTCGGAGATTCGTGCGAGTTCGTTGAAACTTTAGTCGTTGGAACGGATACGTCGTAAAATATTGAAGTCCTTTTAACATCCATAGTATCCGAAACGCTAGTATCACAAGAGGGTGTTAACGTCCGTTTGATTTCGGGGAAATGTTTACATTCAACGACGGAGTTGTGAGGATTGGAAGCGACGGTGGAAACAGCTGGTAAGTGAGCTGACACAATAGGGTGTGGCTTAAAGGCAGGTTCTGCTTTACAAACCACTCCAGGATTGTAGTCGGTTGGAGAGCGCTGCTTTTGTTCTTCGGAACAGCTCACACGGTTTTCACTTTCCTCAGAAGTAAATATTGTAGGAATCACAATTTCATTGTGAACCTGGTTGCTAGATTTGATGCTGAGTGATTTGTCTGTTCCAACTGAATTCCAACAGCCACCGTCAGCCACAGGGTGTACAGAACCGCGATGACCTCCACTCTCTGAATGAGGAAAGGAATGTGACGTGCTTGTGAAACCTCGAGGGGGTGGTACCAATGGTCGCTGTGGTGATCCAGGTGGTTGGTCATCTTCGACCAGCTCAATTACCGCCCGTTTAAATCCAGAGAGCAGTCGGGACACAGGTGATGTGAAGAAGCCGGCCATATTAGCCGTTCGGTGGGCCTATCTGGAGCATCACATGGCCCACAGCCCAGCACTTAATACCGCCGGGGAGGCGAATGCCAGGCATACCAGCCGCTCGCAAGTGCCAGCCATCGTTTGTAACGAATGCAGATAGATGCGCACTTGACCAACCGGTGCGCAGTTGTGTGCGACCGCACGGCATACGCCTTGCGCAAGTGCGTCACAACTAAGGTAGCCAATCAAATACCGAAACCAGGATCCGAATTCCCTACTTCCGTTCGAAGCCAACAGCAGAGCTCGAAGGTCAAGTTACGAACTGGCAGTTGACAACGTTCTCCAGTAGTGACCCAGGTACGTTGCTACCTTTGGCGAGGAGGGACGGCAGCCGCGTGACAGATTTCGCTCTTCGTCCCTGGGCTAATGTCGCCACATGCGGGCAGTAATTGGTTGGACAGGGTGTGATGCGGTCTTTGTTGTAGGTTGCTAAATATTTCAAGCAGACCTATCAATTCCCGATCCAACGATACGCAAAAGAACAAACATTCACGGGTTTATCCTATCGTTCCGGTCCCAACTGAACTTGAAATTGAAACGCGTTAGTTAAGCCCTGGACGAGGTATTTGATAAAATCTGCGGGGTTCTCTGAACAATCGTCGCTGAGCCAATCAGCTTGCAGATGCGAAACTAACCACAACTCTGCCGTAAATCCTGAACGTTAACGGAGTGTTTGGCTGAAGTGTGGCGACTGCCTTTTTATCGTCAGCGATTTGCGTCCACCTGCGCTACAAACCATCCCTTATAATAAGAGAACATTTCGGCTAAGCTTTGAATACAGCATTGCAAAGGGGTGTGATGGTTAGTCTTTTTTTCTGGAATTGGTGGGTTTAATCGACCGCGCCTGAGTTCTGAGCCACGGTACCACAAGGAGGCAACCAAGCAAGGTGTGCGGACATGTTCGCAAAGTCCTATATCTGACGAACTGCATCGATCCGAACCAATCCCTACTATTCGCAAATAGCCTGAGAACCTATCGCTCTAACACGGCGTTCGCGGAGTTACATAGGCTCGGCTACTCCTCGCCGTAATCAAGAACCGCATTGTGAGCACACAAAGATTTCGCTATCCGGAAGCCGCTCTTGGTCCTAAGGTGCTCTGTCAATCGGTGCTCAAAAGTACTTCCTAGTGAGACTGGCAGGTTGTTTGCCGCAGTAGGAGCGGCTGAAGTACAGTGTTTTAGTGTGACCGGACCGCAACTTTGCCTCAACTTGAGGTCAACAATAACGATGGAAAATATCCTGGTTATCCAAAAGTTAGGTTTAAATGTCGACCAAAAATGCGTCGCAATCTAGCATCAAAATGAGTAAGCATGTCTGAAGCCTGCTCACCAATACCATAACGGATCTGACGGGTCATCCGCTATGTGATATACAGCAGCATCCACCATAGGTCAAATTGAATAAGAGCGAAAAACGAAAAAACAGCCCTATATTGGTACAATGCAATTAACCTCACATCGTAACATCGTAAGTGATTCCTCGCATGTTTTGAATACGGGTCTCACGTATAGTAACATTGTAGGATCTATAACTGACGGTGGGAGGAAGCACCTAACCATGCGTACTTATGCACGTGGGATGACGGAAACACAATTTGTGGTCGATCTACAGGGGAATGCACCGAAAGAGGTAGTCCGATCTCATACACTATAAATGCAGTATGATTTTACTGGAGAGCTTACGTGGCCAAGACAACTGTGCGCTGTAATTTCCTTCACGTCAGACCCGCCGCCGTTTGGAATAGGTTACAAACCGCAACCAACTCGTGCAAGAATGAGGCAAGATCCATACAAAATCTTGAGTTGCCTTGTCTTGAGTACTTTTGCAACCATGAAAAGAGCGACCAAAAACAACTAAAGGACGAGATAAAACGGTACTTACCCAAGGCAAGCACATCTGCTTGTTGGCGGGGAGCAACCAACCGGAACAGGAAATAGTTTCTGCATGGAATTCAGAAAATTTCAAACATCGGTGTGGTGCTGAAGTTCTCCGGCAGAAAACAGTGTGACGTGACCACTGCCTAGGTGGATAAGTATCCATGCTGATGCCTATCTCCTGCATCGTACGCATTTGTAGAATTGCTGTTACTCAGCGCCTCATCAGCCACTCGACACACGGGCACTTTGGAAATGCAGAACGTGTAGAATGTTTTGCCAGTCCCAAACTTGGGCTTCTGCTTTACAGACTTTCAGTAGGCCGCAGCCCGGGGAATCTCATGCTACATCAAGAGTATACGCAAGGGAAAATGCTCACCCATACATGTGTCACTCACGCAAGAGCCATGACACACTGTGCACACAATGCGTTCTGAATTATGGGTGCATGTACTCGCACCAAGAAGTGTGCCGAGTAATGTGCACTTATTATTGTCAGGGTAGGGTTAAAACATTCCTCAATTGAATGCCTTGGCGCAATCAAATGATCGGAGTTTTATAAACCTCGTGAATAATATAATCGGTAAAATAGAGAGTGCGGGAGCAGCGGCGGATTTGGTAGCAGGAGGAGTGGCGTTAACTGTGTTAGCGGTAAATTTGTCACGCATTTCGCATGATGGATGACGCGAGCCAACTCTGGATTCCCACTAACTATTTGTTTACCCATCCTATGCCCCAAGGTTACTTGCCATCCCGACCTAAGTGTTATGTAATTCACAAGATGAATCTAATCTAATCTAATCTATCCGCTCACCCAATGTAGGTGTCATGGTTACATGCCAACCGACATAACTACTATGTAATTAGCAAGCCGCATGTCGGGATCTCAGTCCGGATGACCAAAGTCGGCGTCTGCCCCAACTGATGAGCGCCGGCTTACCGATTATCCTCCATGTGATCTCATATCGATGTTGCCATGACTTCATTCTACCTCTCACTGGGGAAACCGTTCGCTCATACTGTGCAACTCGTCCAGACCACCCTCCACACACCTCTCGGACTTGAATCATCCTTCTGCTCCAGGAGTACGCACCTCCATGTTCCTCCCACTCCCACTGTTTGACTGAGCCAAGCCACCCCAAGAGCACAGCCCATAACGTTCCGTTTCATACGGTGTAAAAGGAACCAATGAGTCAAGGGTTAATGGATCTAATAAGTCATAGTCCGATCGTGGACTCTGTATCGTGTGACTCTTTGTGTACGATGGCAAGTACCATTTGCATTCCTTTTGGACATTGTGAAGGCCGGTTGTTTCGGAACTGATCGGGCATTTTCGAGGTATTGTATTTTAGTTACTATTTGAATAGTAGCGTAGTTAACATCACGGCTTCCTTTCTTGATTGGACCCGGGAGTTTTCACGTATCACTCGAGACCCCCAAGCAAATTTGTCGCTTACAAAATGGACTAAAATCCATTCGTTAATCCAGTGTGGTGTGCTCTGGATGGGAAAACCTATAATAAATACATTTCACAGAACACGGTAGTTAGTACAAAAGTTTATTACGACAGGAAAATGTGTTGGGGTCGCCTCGTTAGGCGATGGGATGGAAGTATATCGATCTTACCGGTATACTGAGTATATCAACTGTGCTCAGGTATGAGTGCACAGCAGACACGTCGCTCAACAATGCACGTTAACGAAACGTGGAGAACAGACACGTGGAAATATTACTTTGCTAACGCACTGGTATTCTCTATGCGAACGGCAGCTGTTAAGCTAAACGTATTTGCAGAATGACCCATTTTCGTGTCCCGCTGCTGTTCTCCCTACTCGACGCGGAATTATCAGATATAATGGGAGGGAGCTGGTTAACGATGAGACCCTTCGTTTGTAAGCCTTTAACGCAAAACACGAGTTCGGACGCTGCGTAACTTGCGGACACCCTATATGCGAAAGCAACATTAAGCTCGGCTGGCAGAGAATGGGGTGGAAGTTGAAAAAAAGTCGGAATAATCAATAAAGCCTGCTGTCAACACTATGCATAACAAACTCTTCTGCTAACTGACACGGTATGAGACGTGTTAAAATAATCCATTTGCAGCAACAAGTTCGGAGATTTCGAAGCGAAATGCGTTTTAGTGTCAACGTATCCCACTGTTCTGTAAAACGAGTACACCCGCCTTTCAAAAACGTGGATCAAGATTACGTGAATGTATCAAGCGGAAATCCCATTTTTATCGTATTTCCGGCTGTAGTTGATGTCCAGTTGCCTTAAGCAATTTATCACTCATCCAAGTGAACTGTTCAGTGCCTATTTTCTATAGTTGGCCAGCGGTTTGGAAAAGAATAACGGCCAACAAATCTCCAAATATATGCTCCAACGACGTCTACCTATTGTATGGGAAAACGACGACATATCGGGAATTGGAAAATCGCTACAGCGATTATCATTGTTGTTGCTCTCTCTCTTCTCGCCTGATGATACACTTGTTTGAGCATTTTCTTCACTGGAGCCAGTATATCGTGACACACAACAGAGCCCAGGTGATTTATTGGAACACACCACCCACGTTCATGATGGCAGAGAGTGACATATCACCAAAATTGCACATCCTAGCTCACTCTTTTCTCTTAATTCCGCCATTACAAATATTCGTACGCTACCACCCAAACTGGATCTCCTTACAAAGTTTATGTTCCTTAAAACTCTTCACGTTGTTTGTATCATTGAAACATGGTGCACATGTGACTTCCGAGTGAATGTTCTAGTTTCGGAAGGATCGTCTGCGTAAACGCGGTGGTGGATGTGCCGTCTACATGGTTGGGGGCATCCGGTTTTGGATTTTCCAGCCGTCTACATACACCATGGCATAACAGCAATCTCAGCTGACCAGTTGGTCTCTAATGACGTAGGATACTCATTATA